GCAAGCAACTAGTGCAAGGGAGGGAACAGGAGACTCTTGGGCTGGGAGTAGGCAGAGCTGCTCCAATTGTGGCTTCAGCATGATGGAACAACCTCATCTGCAGCCGTCAAGCGGCGTGGTCTGCTCAGTGTTGTACCGCTGGTTCTCTAGTCCACCCATGTGGGTTTTCCTTTGGACCCCCCTCCCGGCCCATGGGGCCCTGCAGTGAGAATACACCAACTCGGAGCCTACCAGCTGCTGTCCTTTGTACAGTTTATATCTCCGGCACCTCAAGTGGTTAAGACGCTGAACTGCAGGCTGTGGAAGGTCGGTAGTTCAGCAGTTCGAGACCCGGGTGCCGCACGACGGGGTGAGCTCCTGTCTCTAGTTCCAGCTCCTGCCAACCTAGCAGTTCGAAAGCAAGAAATTGCAAGTAGCTAAATAGGTACCACTTTGGTGGGAAGGTAACAGCGTTCCGTGCGCCTTGGTGTTTAGTCATGCCGGCCACATGACCACGGAAACGTCTTCGGACAGCGCTGGCTCTTCGGCTTGGAAACGGAGATGAGCACCGCAACCGTAGAGTCGGACTTGACTGGCTTTCGAGCAAGGGAACCTTTACCTTTACCCTACCTGGCATTACGTTTTATGGCACACGTGGCCCGGCTCGACAAAGTGACATTTATGTCAGATTCAGCCCTTGTAACAAATGAGTTCAACGCCATGGCTCTAAACTGTACCCATCTTTATTGCGACTGTGCTGGCCTTGCATTTGGGGAACTTGTTTTGGCATTTCAAAAGTACGTCTTGAAGCACTCTGAAAACGTGCCAGATGGGTTTGACGAGAGACAGTGGTGGGATGCAAAATCTGAATGCATCGGCTCCAGGGCTGTGACGGCTCGACAATGCTGCCGCCAAGCCTTTGAAAAGCCTCGCGTGTGCTTTTGTGCGAGCCGGCATCAGTTTTAAAATGGGCTTCCCAAACTCTACCTGGCTATTTTTAGGCATGACGCACCAGAACAAGCACTGAGTTATTTTTTGCGAGGCTGCTCATCAATCATGCGGTGACACAAGCCATCAAAATAAATAGCAGATAAATGAATATAGGGGGGAAATGGCAAGGACATGCCTCCAGTCTGGGACCGAGGGCTAAATGGAGCCAAATTGAGCTTGAATGTTGTAGCGGCTTTTCTTGGGTACACGTTTGGCTACTTTCCTTCCCGGCCATTCCACGCCTGTGTTTGGGAACCATCAATCATCATCAATTAGCAGTGTGGAGTAGTGCCAATTACTGTCACCCAGGAAGACATTCCCTCCTGGTAATTACATGCTGCTAGCCCAAAACTGAGCGATTCTCAGGTGTTGTGCTAAGCTCTTTGTAGGGATTGGACAGCGGGATGTACTTGAGTGTGTGTTGTCATTGTCTGACCAGTTGGGCGCCAAGTGTCAGGGGGAATGGCCACATGCACACCATGCACTCCTTGAGAACCAGGAGGCGGAGAAGAGGCGCCATCCTCCTATTGTCAGGCGCCGTGGAGCAGAGGAGAGGTTAGTCTGGAATCTTGGGGTTCACATGTTGTAGGCAAACTTCCCTCTGCTCAATTCAGAATGGCCTCTGTCATTCTGAGTCTTCCTGGGCACCCGTTCAGCTGATGAACTCATCTTCCTCCTGAGACTTTTCTCTTGGCTCGTGACATGTGCAGGTGGCACTATCTGCATTGCGCCTTATTGTATTGCCCCCAGGGGTTATAGTTCTCAGCACCAACCGTGGCGGAGAGCGATTTGGAAATTCAGTGTTCCTACCCCCACTCCAAAACAAAAGCTCACCTGAGACCAAGAAAAGGTTTTACGACCTGCGTCAAGGCATGCAATCTCTCAAAACTTTTGAAAGATTTGATTGAGAGTATTGACCCAAATACAGAAGGCAAGATACTAAATGAAAGGCTTCTTGATAGGGTAGCCTGGTCACATCATTCACAGCAGTCTGCAAAAGTTTTCTACGGAATCAGAGGTTACTATTAAAGGACTGTGTAGCTCACAAAGTTTTATTGCAATGCGTGAGCATTTGAGCAAGAATAAGAAGCTTAACTATGGAGCCCAGACAGCTTCCCCCTAGGCTGCACATTTGTAGCACTGTGCAAAATTTCATATTTATACTCTTGAGCTGAAAACCCCGGGGGGGGGGGGATGCTCCTTGATTTATAAAGTGGCTGAGCATTAACAATTGGAACAATGTGCTATTCCAAGCCCTCTGTGAATTTTGGTGGTGTCGCTGAGACAAACCAAACTTTTCTACAGGGGGTTGATCCCTGTTGTCTGAGGATCAATTGTAAATTCTAAGAGATCTCCAGGCCCCATCTGGAGGTTCAACAGCAACCACACAGGGAACACGGCTAAGTTAGATAAACACAGAAAACACCGCGTTGAAATAATAAACACAATATTCACATGTACGTATAGCTAAATATATTTGCTTTTTATACACAGCATCAACTCTAGTGTATTGTAAACACTTTCGAACTACAACATCACATTTCAAACACTTTCAAACTAAGTTATATAACACGAAGAGTCCAACTGTCTTCTTCCTGATGGAGGATAAATACCAATGTACAGTTATTGTGCTTATTATTTCAACACAGTGTTTTCTGTGTTTACCCATCTGGAGGTTGGCAAACTTACTGTGAGCAGAGACACACACTTGCTTGTTGATATACAGAAGAAGAAGAGTTGGAATTATACCCTGCCCTTCACTCGGAGTCTCAGAGCGGCTTACAAACTCCTTTCCCTCCCTCTCCCCACAACAGACTTCCTGTGAGGTAGGTGGGGCGGAGAGAGCTCTGAGAGAACTGCTCTTGAGAGAACAGCTCTGAGAGAACTGTGACTGACCCAAGGTCACCCAGCTGGCTGCATGTGGAGGAGTGGGGAATCAAACACGGTTCTCCAGATTAGAGTCCGCTGCTCCTAACCACTTCACCAAACTCATCCAGCCTTTCTGTGATCGAGATGAATTTCAACAGGGTCTTTTAGTAGTCTGTTGGGTGGCCTTGGGCCTGTCGCAGTTCTCTCAGAACTCTCTCAGCCCCACCTACCTCACAGGGTGTCCGTTGTGCGGAGAGGAAGGGAAGGTGATTGTATGCTGCTTTGAGATTCCTTAGGGTAGAGAAAAGTGGCGTATAAAACCTATTCTTGCAATATTGGCTGGAGGAGGTGGTGGTGTCTGAGACGGCTTAACTCTGTATCTGTCCATCAGAACAAATTCACTTCAGGTTCTTTGGCAGGTTCTTCCTCGCAGTTTCATTTCTTTCCCTCCAAAGGAGCTACTGAACTGTTAAATCTTTCTTCCCATCACTCCAGCCCCTCAAGAGCCGCCAGTCCCTTTCTTCCTTTCACAGTTCCCCTTCGGTCTTCCGTGCAACCCTCCCACTGCATTTGCAGTTGAGACAAAAAGCCGTGTTCCAGCATCCTGACACTGCTACCCATCTTCCTGTCCCCCCATGCATGATTTTTCACCAGCTCCAGACAGAACAATTCAAAAGACGTTTTCCCCTCTTCCTCTCCCCCGAACATAAAAAACCCTCTTTTAATCAATTCCTCTGCCTTTCATTCTTGTCGCTCTTCCTCTTTTCTTTCGTCTTCCTTCTCGAGAGCTTGAAATAAATTGATTTCCTTGAAAAGGATGCGGAGATAACAGGGCTATCAATTAATAACCAAAAATGGCATAGAAAGGAGGAGCCGGAGTGGCTACTGGTTTCTTTTTAAAATTCACTCTTTCTTTTTTTTTTTAAACCTTTTTAAAATGCATGTGTTATGAGAAGGGCCGGATCAAAAGTGCTGGAGTGGAGAGCAAGGATTCGCAGCGCTGAGAGAGGAGTTCTGTTGCTGCCATTAAATAATACTTCCAGTAATTAAGTGCCGCTTCCTACGGGCCCCTCCAGCACAGACACAGGCCTGGCTCTGTGTGTGTGTGTATGTGTGTGTAAAAGGGGGTGTGTGTGATTGTGGGTCTCTCAGTCTCTTAAGTATCTGGAAGGAAGATAGATTGCTTATCTGTAGGATTAGTCTGAGAAGTCTTAAAGGTAAAGGTAAAGGTTCCCTTGCTCGAAAGCCAGTCGAGTCTGACTCTAGGGTTGCGGGGCTCATCTCCGTTTCCAAGCCGAAGAGCCAGCGCTGTCCGAAGACGTTTCGGTGGTCATGTGGCCGGCATGACTAAACACCAAGGTGCACGGAACGCTGTTACCTTCCCACCTAAGTGGTACCTATTTATCTACTTGCAATTTCTTGCTTTCGAACTGCTAGGTTGGCAGGAGCTGGAACTAGAGACGGGAGCTCACTCTGTCATGCGGCAACTCGGGTCTCGAACTGCTGAACTACTGACCTTTCACAGCCTGCAGTTCAGCGTCTTAACCACTTGAGCCACCGCAGCTCCTTGTGAGAAGACTTAGTGCCATCCTAAGCAGAACTATGCCCTTCTAAGCCTATTGACTTCCACTAACTTAGAATAGTGCAATTATTCTTAGGGTGGCCAACCTCCAGTTGGTGCCTGGAGTTCTCCTGGGGTTCCAACTGATCTCTAGACTACAGATGTCGGTTCTTCTCTAGGAACTGTCAGCTCTGTAGGGATCACCAAAGAATTGATGGGAGGGTTCTTAATGCTGGCTCATGCCCACCAATTTCCCCTTACAACTTCCACCCCTGCCATTTGCTGATCAAGTGGGTTTACCTGTGATTTTGGAGGCTAGTTGAGGGGGAAATTGAGGAACGTAATCGAGACCACAGAATACAATGTCAGGTTTAGAACTGGTCTGAAATTAATTTGGTTGTCTTAGCTTCCCCGGTGGATGCCGGGAGTTGTAGTTTTATGAAGAAGTTGAGAATGGAATGGCTTCACTTACTACAATTCACAGGGTGTGTTGAACATTCAGCCGGTCTAGAATGGAATGCCTCTTATGGAGAATCAGTGATGAGGTGAGTTTTTAAACTGGGTACCGCAGTCCCTGACCAAATCTTCTTTTCATTTACAGGAGGGAGCCTGTCCAAACAAGACTGGACCATCCAGTGGCCAATGACCGAGACCGGCAAGGAGAACAACTCTGCGTGCCAATCAGAATCCATGCAGTGGATTCGAACTCACCTTTCTCCAAGCCCTAAATCTCAGTCCAAATGCATTCAGCGTTACTGCCTCCAGGGCTTGTCTCATGGATCAGTGTACACCCATGTGGACAGGCTGACGGTGGAAGGCTTTCTGGGACTGTGTCCTCCTCTGGAATCGGGCCACCGCTCCTTGCCACCATCCCCAAGACAGCGGCATGCTGCCCATACACCACCACGCACCCCTAATATAGTCACCACCATGACTCCGCCTGGCACCCCGCCAATCAGGAGGCGAAACAAGGGGAAACCTCCAGGCACTCCGCCCCCCTCCTCCCGCAAACTGATCCATCTTTTCCCGGGTTTCACGGCCTTGCATCGCAGCAAGTCCCATGAGTTTCAGCTGGGAAATCGAGTGGACGAGGCTCACACGCCCAAGTAAGTGGACTGGAAAGTGTGTAGAGGGGGGGTCTCCAACATGGTGCCCGTGGGCACCCTGTCTCCCACCAAATGTTTTTTGAACCTTGTGTGGTGGTAAGGTCGAGAGAGAGAGGCACTGGTTCAAGGTCACCCAGTGAACTTCCATGGCAGAGAAGGGGATTCAGACCTGGGCCTCCCGTCTCCGAGTCCAGCGTTCTAACCGCTACACCACTCTGCATGTATTTCTCCCCTCTTTTTTTCTTAGGGGGATGGTAATTGTGCATCTCTGTGCGGTCTGTGAGAGGGTGTACTGGGAGTTGGTGTAGCCAAGAGAATCAGCGATGATCTGGGTGGTTCCTGATGCGTATCTTGCCTCTGCTACAGACTCATGAGGGAAACTTAGGCAGGTCGTTCTCTCACAGGCTCAGCCAGCCAGTTGCAAAATAATACTGTCCTGCCATGCAGGGCTGTTATCAGGACTGCAGCAGAATGAATTTTTACCCTATTAAGATATAATGCCTTACCCTCAGCTATATTGGAGGCCAGATTTACTAGATCACTGAGGAAAAGTTGTATATGTGGGATGGGAACTGATGAAACATTGGAACATGTAATTTTCAGTTGTAGTATATACCATAACGGGGAAGTTTTGATTGAGCCTATTGTTAACTCCTATCCAGGTCGTAATAGAAGGATACTTTTGTCAATTATGCTGGCAGGTGTTAATCAAAAGCTGACTAAGAGGGTTGCCAAATTTGGTTGGTTGGCATACCGAACTAGGAAAGAGATAAAGAAGTACAGATAGGCCTAGATTTATTTTTAATTTTTGATCTTAATATTAATTTTATCATTTATGTATTTTAAGCTTTTTAGATTCCGATTTATAATTTTAGATGTTATTATATTTTATAATTTTACTGTTCTTTTATCTGTTATTTATTTGCCTCCTGTTCTATTGATTGTTGGTCTATGCCCATAATAATACATTGTGACTGCAGCAGAACACTTAGGCAGAGAGCCCCCTGAACACTGGAAATCTGTATATCTAATAGCCAGGGCGCTCACTTTGTGCGGATATCTAAATCCGCACATCAGGGGCACCTAGGGGGCAAAGAGATTCCCGTGCACATTTGGGGCAATCCCCAGATGTGCAGAAAAACCTGAAAAGTTGAAAAAAAATATATAGGGGGGATACTCAAATCTCCCCCAAAGTAAAAAAGTACCACTAGCCAATGTTCCCTCTAAGCAGTGGAGTCTTGTGAGCAAAAATTCTACTTTGTGAGCTACTGGCATTAAAGTTGTGAGCAAGCGATTTGGCTCCTGCATAAATTAGTTTGCTCTGGAGCCCTCCTTCCTGAACTAAGGCAAAAATGTGTGAGCTGGAGACTAAAAAACTGTGAGCTAATACTGAAAACAAAGTATTTGTGATGCGATTATGGCTGGATTTGAGAGTTGGCGAAATGGGCAGAGGTGGAATACTACAGAGATGAGCCACAGAGCTCTTCTCTCACCCTTAGCAGCAATGGGACATCTAAAGAAAGCATGACTTTTTGGCGAGTTGATTTTTTTGTCCTGTTGAGTAGTTTGGGCAGGCGACACAGCTGTGAGAAGGCACTGTGAGAATGAGGGCTGCCAGCCTCCAGGTGGGGCTCGGAATAGGGTTGCCACCTGCAAGTTGGGAAATACCTGGAGATTTGGGGAGTGGAGCCTGAGGAGGGGGGGCTTGGGGAGGGGAGGGGCTTCGGTGGGATATAATGCCATGGAGTCCACCATGTTCTCCAGGTGAGCTGATCTCTGTCACCTGGAGACCAATTGTAATCCCAGGCAATCTCCAGCCCTCACCAGGAGGGTGGCAACCAATGCCCCCTCTAAGCTGTGGCATCTTGTGAGCAAAACTTCTACTTTGTGAGCTACTGGCACTAAAGTTGTGAGGAAGTGATTTGGCTACGGCATAAACTAGTTTGCTCTGGAGCCGTCCTTCCAGAGCTCAGAGAAAAACGTTTGAGCCGGAGGCTAAAAAACTGTGAGCTAGCTCACACCAACTCAACTTAGAGGGAACACTGGTGGCAACCCTAGCCTGAAGAGCTCCTGGAATTTCAACTAATTTCCAGACAACAGAGATTGGTTCCCCTGGAGAAAAGGGCTGCTTCGGTGGATGGGACAGTACGGCATTATACCCCGCTGAACTCCCTTCCCCTCCCTCTTCATATCTGTACTAGCAATTTGTTTCTCATTGTGTAAAGGTAAAGGTTCCCTTGCTCGAAAGCCAGTCGAGTCCGACTCTGGGGTTGCAGTGCTCTTCTCCGTTTCAAAGCCGAAGAGCCAGCGCTGTCCGAAGATGTTTCCGCGGTCATGTGGCCGGCATGACTAAACACCAAGGCGCACGGAACGCTGTCTCATTGTGTACAAGAAAACTAATGGAGAGGTGCGATCTGGATATTTGAAGTCAAGCAGATGTGGTGGTGGTGGTTTTTTGTAAATCTGCAGCTCTAGAGAGCAGCATGATGTGTTCGGTCCCAGATTACCCTTCGTAGAAGCAATAATTAATTCAGTACAAAAATAACTAGGTAGAGGTAAAGGTTCCCTTGCTCGAAAGCCAGTCGAGTCCAACTCTAGGGTTGCGGTGCTCATCTCCGTTTCAAAGCCGAAGAGCCAGCGCTGTCCGAAGACGTTTCCTTGGTCATGTGGCCGGCATGACTAAACACCGAGGTGCATGGAACGCTGTTACCTTCCCACCGAAGTGGTACCTGTTTATCTACTTGCAATTTCTTGCTTTCGAACTGCTAGGTTGGCAGGAGCTGGAACTAGAGACGGGAGCTCACTCCGTCATGCGGCACCCGGGTCTCGAACTGCTGAACTACTGACCTTCCACAGCCTGCAGTTCAGCGTCTTAACCACTTGAGTCACCACAGCTCAATAACTAGAGGGGCAAAAAAGTAGCCGGCTATGTGAGTCCACAGTAGCTGTTCCTTACTGCAATTAGACAGGCCTACCAAGTTGACTATGGCAAGTGGCTTGCTGCTAGTGTCTGCTCTGCACATCCGTGTCTGCAGCATTCTGGGTCACACAGTTGCCAGCCTCCAGGTGACTCCTGGAGATCTCCTGCTATTACCGTTGATCTCTAGTTGACCAAGATCAGTTTCCCTGGAGACAATGGCTGCTTTGGAAGGTGGCCTCTGTGGCATTACTCCCTGCTGAGGTCCCTCCACCCCCCAGGTCCCTCCACCCCCCCAAAGATCTCCAGGTATTTTTCAACCCAGAGCTGGCAGCCCTAGGACTCACACTGATCATTGTTTTAGAGTGGAGCAGTGGCCTGGCTCGGCCTGGACTCCTGAAATACTGTTTGATGAAAGGGATGATGGGCTGTTGCCATGGTTGCCAGCCTTTAGGCAGGGCCTGGCGATCTCCCAGAATTAGAGCTGATCTCCAGACAGCAGAGGCCCATTCCTCTGGAGAAAACGGCTGCTTTGGGGTGTGGCTGTCAGGGTATTGTAGCCCGCTGAGGTCCCTTCCTTTCCCAGACCCCATCCCCAGTTCTCCGGGAACATCCCAACCCGGAGTTGGCGACTCTAGCAGTTGGCTGTCCCTGGCACCCAGAATGTAAATCCCACCCATATGTCAAGATGGAAGCTGAAAACACTTGTTTCCCTGGCCTGGTATAGGAGAGAAAGCAAAAAATTTGGGTTTGCCTATGGAGCTGCCAACCTAACAGTTCGAAAGCAAGAAATTGCAAGTAGCTAAATAGGTACCGCTTCGGTGGGGAGGTAACAGCGTTCTGTGCGCCTCGACATCTAGTCATGCCGGCCACGTGACCACGGAAACATCTTCAGACAGCGCTGGCTCTTCAGCTTGGAAACGGAGATGAGCACCGTGCCCTAGAGTCAGAAACCTTTACCTTTAGCCTTTATGGAGCTGTTAAGGAATTTGGGATGTTGCTTTGAAAACCTCTATCTTTATGGTAGCTCTGCCCCATAACACCTGAAAACAAGACAGATTGACGGTTCACCTTATTGAGCCCCAGGATGCTGGACTACCTAGGCCAGTGATGGTGAACCTTTCAGAGACCGAGTGCCCAAACTGCGACCCCAAACCCACTTATTGATCACAAAGTGCCAACACGGCAATTTAACCTGAATACTGAGGTTTTATTTTAGAAAAAACAACTCATACATTAACTTAAGATGATCCAAACAAAGTAAGGAAAGCAATCCCAAATGCTTTCTACTTAAAATTATTTGGCAGAGAATTCGACATTTTAATGATGGTCTGGGCCTGGCTGGGGCGATGGCACGCGTGCCCACAGAGAGGGCTCTGAGTGCCACCTCTGGCACCCGTGCCATAGGTTCGCCACCACTGAGCTAGGCCTTTGGTCTGATCCAATTCGTATTCTTAACTAGTACAAGCCGGTTCATGGGAGCCTTTCTCCTCGTCAACATGGTCATGTGGCAGAATTTGCTAGGCTTTGCCATCCCAACCTGAGGGCTCTTCTTCATGACGGCTTGTAGATCTCAGCTTACGCTGCTTGTGAACTGTGCTTGTGTTGGTATTAATGGAGCGGTGCCTGGATTTGACATGGAGTTTTGCAATGCTTTATTATCATGACACTGCGACGATTATGTTTAAATGATCTTTTTAATGGCCTGTGGCTAGAGCAGTATTTGAAGGGATAATCGGAGAGGCGCTTAGCTCACCTTCCTTGATCAAAAGCTTTTAGGAGGCAGGCAGCAGAGCAGTGGGGTAAGGTGAATGACCAAGATGTGAGCTGCAGAGTGTTAAACTGAAGGGCTGTGGCTTGTTCCTTCATGTTCCTCTCTCCTGCGTAGACAATCACCTGTTTGCAAAGTTTAAGGCTGATTTTTCTCTCCTTTCCCTTTGTATTCTCGCCACTTCTTGTCCCCTTCCAGTTTCTCCTGCCTTGGTTAGGACTAGGGAAACGTGTACCAGCAGGGGGAGCTCTTGCTCTTGAAAACTGTTTCCCCTTTTGGATTCTGCGAGTTCTAGGGTAGATCAGGCACTGT